TAGTAGAGGATAGGAAAGGCAGCAGAATACAACAGACATGAGTATGGCAATATGTAAAACAGTGGATGTGTAACCAATGTGATTCTGCAATCTGTATATGGGGTAAAAATGGGAGTTCATAACCCACTTGAATCAAATGTATGAAATATGTCAAGAGCTATGTAATGTTTTGTACAACCAATAATAAAAATTAAAAAAAAATAAAAGAATTTTGAAAACTGTCATGATGAAGAAATGATATAAAAAGAAACAAAGAAAAAATGAAATGACAAATGAGGAGATAAATATTCATAACCTGATTTAAGCATTATATAATGTATATTGATACCAAAACACCACACATTTATATGAATAATTTTCAGTGTTTCATGTATGTTAATATGTTTTATGTATAATAAATTTAATTAGAAAGTTATATTACAAAAGTTTGGCTTGTCTTGCTTTGAATGGTTTGTACAACTTTATTATCCCCCTTCTGCTAGGTACTTAACAAATACTTGAATTCCTATTAACAATAGTTTAAAAACTCTTGATGTAATCTTGTTAATGTAATAGGAAAGAATTTTATTCAAATCATAATGAAAAAGATATAAAACCAAGATGGTAGAACAATTGTGCTCTGTGCTCCATGCACTTACTGACCTCCTTTAATAAGGCACATCCTCATTTAAAGTGCTGGCTTGAGGAAAATTGTTGCCTCTTGCCTGCTCTCTAACACAGGACAGATAAGAGGGAAAACCATTGGATATGAAGTAAATTATTTGGAATATAGAATCCAGATGATGTTGTCCACACACCATTTTCTATAATGATGACTATATTAACAAATGGTTTTGCTATCAATCTAAATGATTTTTTTTCACCTGGAATTAAGGTTTTTAACTACATGAAGATGAATTTCTTTCATTTGGAATTTTGGAAAAAATGCATTATAATTAATTTAGTATATTTAACTAGGTTGAATAAACTGATTGTTTTTGTTTCTTGTTCTTTTTTTCTTTTTCTTACATATTATGAAATCTTTGATATGTAAATGTTAGGGAGAGATTCAGAACTCTTAAATGTACAGAGCAATTTCAGGAATATTACAACCAAGCAAAAAGAAAATAAAGACTCCCCCAAATATAAACTTTCTTACCAATAATTTTCCCCAATMATGTATTAAAAGTTGTTGTGGGAAGACTGAAATGAGAGAATGTGATATATAAAATTTAATGAAATATTTAAAATGTATAAAAATTGATATAATTTTCCCAAACACTTTTCTGTCTGAGGCTGACTTAGAATCAGTTGCAATCCGCTTAGGGGTCAGAGCCAAGAATTAAATATAATTTTCTAAGATAGCATGAACTGAACTAGTTTTTTAATTCTTGATTTTTCCCTTGAATATAAATTGCCAAAATTACAATATCAAGAGTCTTGGTAATATTCGTATGCTCCTTTCCTAATTAAGGAGTTTAGGACTCAACCTCACTTTCTGATAGGTAGAAGGAGAGTGTCACCTTTAATGATGGTCAGATTTTTAAATCTTATTCTAAGATTTTGTGTTTTTCTTTGCATGGGAAAATTCATGCAATCATTCTGTCTTTGTTTTAGGATATTAAGATCCTAATGCACAGCTCATGTTCTTAATACTCTGCTTCTGCTTCTATCACTTTCCATCCTGAACAATTTCTGACTTACATTTCCTCTTGCTACATTCACATTGGGACTTTGTAATTGGAGGTCTTTTGCTTCTATTCTCAGATATAAACTTCCTCATTGACCATCTGCTCCTCAGAATCTCCTTATTTGTCTTTGGACAATAGAACTAAAAATTTTAACATGGCATCTTTAAGATTCTTTGCTATGTTTGTGAAGAATAATTGGCATAAAAACAAATTGTATTCCAAGGCCAGTCAGTAGTTGCTTCAATCTGACCATTTGTGTAGTTCACTCTGATACGTCAATGGTTTTGAGACTTGGGCCCAGTGACCTGTGTTATTTCTTCCTACTCTGAATTGTTAGATGGGGAATTTGGGGAATTTGATAATTTTAATAAGATACACTTGATTTGAAGGAACTCAAACACCTATCTCCTTTTGGAAATTGCAGAGAACAGACTCCTTTATTCTATTAACCTTTGCTATTTTACATTGAARGACAACCCCACCCCTTTACCAACTACTGTCCTGCAGATTAGAAATATCAGCATTTCATATGCAGAAGCTGCTGCTTTTCCTTAAACTACTGATGGCGTAGTAGAAAAAAATATCCTTCAACATCTAAAGTTCATTAATGTGTACTTTCTCAAGGTATTTGTGTTTTACACTATTGGGGCTGCAGAATTCTGAGCCCATTAATTTCCATAAATAAGCCATTTTCTTTCTTTTTATCTTTTAATGACCTTTCTTCTAATATTTAATCATAGCTTATGGCACAGATCTGTAAAAGTAATTATGAGACAACACATGTTTGGCAGCCTTGTCATTATCTCAGGAGTTAAGAAAGGTCAGACTCTCTGAATACTTTGGGTGGAAATCTTCAATGAAAAGCCAGGTGTTTTATGGAATAGGCACTGGGGATTCTCATGGAGCAATGCTGTCTTTTGAGACTGAACAGCACACTCTTCGTAAAATAATCAGTCACAGTCTCCTTCTCCTCTCCATGAAGCCTCTCTGTCAATTTAAGGTGAGGAGATAAAATGCCCGGGAATGTATATATTAAAAAGGAATGAACAAACAGACATTGAATTTTTAAAACAAGACTCTTCTAAGAAAGTGAAATAATTGAACCAATAGGATGTGGAGTTGTTTACACAATGTGATGACTCTACTCATCTCTCTCTCTCTTCTAATCTCCACAAGCGAGAAGGGAGAACTGCAGGTACTCCTGGTGATTAATTACATACACATGCGTCCCCAGAGTCACATCGTGGTGATAGATGCCCGCACAGTGCTGAAGTCCTCTAATTAGGGCTGACTGAATATGGTAGATTAAAATTCTAAACATTAGGCTTTGGGGAAAAACTCTAGCCCCCATTCAATTTTCATTAGCTTAGAGTCACTTCATATATTCAAAGTCATCTGAGAAATATTTATAGGCTCTCTGAGAAATTGAGTTACTTCCCAGGAAAGCTGAAATTTGACAATGACTTTAGATCCTTAAGCAGAATGATTGTTTCAGTGGTACCTTCTTCATAGAGGCAATACTTCATAACATTAATTTAAGGCCATTGAGAGGACTAGACAGAGTATCTTCTCAATTATTGCATTTCTTTGGTTGTTTCTTAGTTTTAAAGTCTTCACCCAGTTTTCCCTAAATTATGGATTTGTACCTTGGCTGGGTTTTTGATTAATCTGTTTTTATTAAAAAGCAAAATTCCCATTTTAAAACATATTTTAGCCATAAAAGCATTATTTTGTAGAAAAATGTAATCCAAGTCTATTTTCACTTTGTCTGTTATTAATTTACAATTTTTGAAGAGAAAATTTTATTTTCATACATATTGTATACAAACTCAAGACAATAATGCAGGTGGAATACTTAGTGAAAAATAAATAGGGGAAAACTTGCACAGCACTGAGTGTTGTAGTAAAAAAAAAAAAACTTACAAATATAATGCAATAAATACATTTGGTAAATTTCCTAAAAATCTATCCATTTGCTCATTACACACATTTGAATTTCAGTCAAGTCCTAGCAGGTGATATTGCCTGGGTGGTCAGTTTCTATGCATCCCTGAATTTTCTCAGCCTGAATTACAACAGGACCAGACTATTGAAATACATGCACCAGGACTAAATGGGCAGACTTGGGCAGAGGGATAGTAGGAGGAGAGAGTTCTTAATCTACAATCTGCTGCCACCTCTAAGAATTCCCTCTGGCAGAACTTTTCCTTGACACTGCTCTGCATCRTAAATGCAGATAGAGCCTCCAGCAAAGATTCCTATTACTGAACTAATTCCAGGTTTGAAGACTATCACTTGCCTGTCAACTCAAAGTTTAATGAAAAAGTTCATGGGCAAAATGCAATCCGAAAGTGGAGAAATGAAAATCATGCCTTAAGAATGTAGCCAAATAAAATAAAGAGCTTCCTTGTTTGGTTCTTGCTGTTCACTTTGCATCTGGAGGAACTGGTCATTGTTGTCATTTTTATATTGGTTTCCAGTGCTATGCTTTCTTAGAGCTGTGGTGTATAATGAGAGTCTTCTCTTGCATATCTTGTATATTCTTGTGCATTGTCCCTGATTTCATGACAAGACAGATCAAGGATGGGAATTTTTATCTGCATGTCTTCTCATTTGGATAACTTGAGGYTAATAAAGTATCAAGTACTGATCTTGTTCCTTCTTGCAGCCAATATTCACCACTTAAAGGCATATTTATGCCTTCTGTGATCTCGAGATGGTACTGGGAAAGAGAACTGAGCCCAATGATACTAGTTAAGACCCAGAGTGAAAGAGATCCCTGAAATACAAGGAAACGGGTTTCAAGTATTCATGAAGGAACTGTGTCAGCTTCTATCTCCTTGCTTGTCATTTA